GATTACAGAAAGGGAGCGGGGAAGAGGGGAGAGGTGACAAAGACATCCCACAGGCATCCTGGAGTCCCACTGTTTGCCACAATGCACTGAAAGGAGGCTGGGGTGGGGGCACAGGCTGAACGCACTGGAGCTTTGCCGTAAGAACCGAGGAAGCAGCATTTCTGGGTGCAGACGGACTGGCCACCTGGCACCTGCTGCTTTGATCTTTGGTCTCAATTCCTTTCCGTTACTTTATATTTTGACTAAATCGATCCTACAGGCCTTGAGCACGGGGTACACGATCTGGTAAAAGATAGCACAGGGCCAGTGGATTTACGCCAAAGACAGTGCCATGTGCCCAGTACACGAGGCCACAGAACTTCCTAGCAGGCGGGGAGGAAGGGGGACTCTGGGGAGGGTTTGAACTTGGGGCAGCCTTCCAGATCTATTCTTATCAGGGGAAAAAAAGCCACGCACTGATGGTTTTCCTCAATGAGCTAATCGGCTCAAAAACAAATCGTTTCCACTGATCAGAGATCCTTTACAAGGATAACCTTCAAAAAAAAAAAAAAAAAAAAACATAACGCTGGACTACAAAATGCAGCATTTTCTAGACAGTGAGGGCAGTGAGATCAGAGTGTGGCATGCCAGTCCCAGAGACAATCTGCACTGCCCCTTACCCCTGGCCTCTATCTAAGTGGCTGCCAACTCTTCCCCCAAACTCTGTATCTGCACAGAATTCTGTCCTGTGCAGACAGGGAATTTGAAAACAGACGCCTTGAGGTTGTGCTTTAGCGCTAGAGCTCTTTAACTGTGTGACCTTCATCAAGTCCTTTAACTTCGGTTTCCTTAATGGGGGGCCACGATGATAATCCCACCTCAGAGGTTGCTATGTGGCTCAGATAAGCGAACAGCCCAAAAGAGCTTTGCAAATTCCTAGCACTGAACAAATATAAATTATTCCACCACATGGGGTCACTCCTGAAAACCCTGGGGTGTGATCTGCCAAGTGAAATGGCTGCTGAGATCGGGCAGGTGGGTTCCAGCCTCCACCACTCTCCTCACCTTACCACACAACACTTACTTGCCAGCGACCTCGAGCCCAAAATCCCTTGGTTCCTTACACATTCCCCACATCCACCTATGGTATCAGAAGCTGCTGTTGCCAGGGCAACCTGCAAAGTCCAACCTGCAAGCGTTAAAAAGGAACTGGCCCCATCTTACCTTGTATGTCAGAAACACCTGCTGTTGCCTTAGAAACCTTCCTAGTCACGCTGCTTAATGAGGAAATATTTGTGAGCCTGATCCGGTTTTCTTTTCCCGGAATGATTCCAGCTGTGCATCCAAGTATCAAGCTGTTGTTTCCCAACTTCCCACAGGGAGTTAAAAAAAAAATCCTCAAGTCTTTCTCTCCTGACCCAAAGCAGCACTGAACTGACCTTCCCTACAACTGGAAAAGTTAACAGTATAAGTCATGAAGAGGGAGGCGTTTTTAGTTTTTTCTTTTTCTTTTTTTTTTTGAAATGGAGTCTTGCTCTGTCGCCCAGGCTGCAGTACAGTGGCGAGATCTCAGCTCACTGCAACCTCCGCCTCCCAGGTTCAAGCGATTCTCCTGCCTCAGCCTCCCGAGTAGCTGGGACTACAGGCACATGCCACCATGCCCGGCTAATTTTTTTTGTATTTTTTAGTAGAGACGGGTTTCATCATGTTAGCCAGGATGGTCTCAATCTCCTGACCTCGTGATCTGCCCGCCTCAGCCTCCCAAAGTGCTGGGATTACAGGTGTGAGCCACCGTGCCCCACCTTTTTTGCGTTTTTATTTTTTTTTTTTAAGAGATGAAGGTCTCGCCCCGTCACTCTGTGGCCCAGGCTGGAGTGCAGGGGCCCAACAATAGCTCACCTCACAGCCTCAAATTCTTGGACTCCAGCAATCCACCTCAGCCTCCCAAACAGCTGGGAGTCCAGGCCTGTGCCACGCCCCCAGCTGGTTTTCATTCTTTCTAAGGAATTGCTGGGGTTGGAGCTGGGCTGGGATTGGAGATTCCTCCCACCCACTACGGATAAATAGTTAAGATGATGTGAAGGGGCTTTGGAGGCAAAAACTCCTAGATTTGAATCCCATCTTGACCTTTCATTAGCTATGTAACCTTGGGCAAATCATTCAGCCTTTCTTTTTTGTTTCTCATGTGTAAAATAGGGCTAATACTCTCAACATCACGGGGTTGTAAGGATTAAAAGAGAATTAAACAAGACCACCAGGCGGCAGGCCCGGCCCTTGGCAGGCACCAGGCAGTCTTAATTCCCACACCGTCATGGCTGTTACGAAATGCTGCCTATCAACTGTGCCAGGCACCCAGCTGGGTCTGGACCCAGAGGACTCTATAAGAGCCGATCCCAGAGGGAAGCAAAGGGTGTGGCTTTCTGAAACAAGCTCCAAACCAATCTAGACGAGTCCTCAAACAGCAGCATATGTGTGGGGAATGTACAATCTCTCATGATAAGGAAATTGCTTTATGAAGGAAACTGTCTTTACGTAGATATTTACATAACAACTGAATGCTCCTCCATACAATGAAAAACTCCATCTGACCCGTTTGCCCAGAGGCAAGGCCCTTAAGTGAGAAGACCCAAGAAGAATGAGCCCATCGCTGTGCCAAAGAGTGGGAGGCACTGGAGTGGCAGACTTCAGGAAATTAAGCCGCCCCGCTGGCTGGGAGGTTCTATCAGCACAGGGCAGGCTGCAGAGACCAGCGCTCACACCGAGTCTCCCAGGCGCTGGCTTGGCCTTGCTGACCCGCCCATCCCCTAAAGAACCTCCTCCGAAACCTGCCGAATCTCCACACACCTGCACTCCAGCACTCCTCCATCGCCACTCCTCTCACAATTCAACCTTTTTTCTCCCCCTAACTAGGCTTTCCTCCCAGTCTCCGTTTCTATCAGTGACCTCAGCTCCTGGCCCTGACTTCCAGGCCTCCAGGTCAGCTCAGATATGTGGGTCCCCCAATCCCTGATGTCCTATCACCAGGTTTTAGCTAGTCAGTGGTCCCAAGGCTCTTACACGCACCCATCCCTGGTCTTCCCACCTCCAGGGTCTCTCTCTCCCATCCCACCAGGGTCCCTGGATGAATGTGTCCTATCACACTGCTTCCCTGAGGCTGGCCATACTGCCCCGCTCCTTCCCTCATCTCCCAGCTGTCAATGGGTAGTGGGGCGGGGGCGGTGGGGGAACAGATAGCCTAGCCAGTCTAGACAGGACACCCTCCTCCTCTGACCATTTGCCCTGTTTAGCCTAATCCTGTCACTTTCAACCTTTTTAAAAGGAGAAGAATTTTTTTCTTTTTTTCCAAACAGAACATTTAATCCAAGCCCCACTGCACAGAATACTTCACAGTGCACATGCTACGGGCAAAGGGGTCAGGGAGAGCCCTGTTCTCACAGCTCAGTTCCCCCTTGACCTAGAGTTGGCCCCTAAGACCACTGCCCTAACCCCTCACCTCTGCTGCTCCCAACCCTCACCGGCCCCTGCCCTGTCCCCTCCTCCCTTTCAGCTATGATGCCTCGTCAGCAGCGCAGGGCAGGGGGTCGTCAAACCAAACCTTACCGTGTCCTGCCCAGTTGCCCTGCAGAGCCTCACTGTCCGATCAGTGTCAGGAACTGTGACAGGCCCTGCGTCTGAGGTTTAGAGACTGCTCACAGTTCAGAGGCTATCCCGGGCGTTTTATGCGCAGCAACTCAGGTAATCCTCACTGCGCCTGTGTTGCTATCCATCCTCGGCCTTTCCTCATTTTTTTTTTTTTTTTTTGAGACGGAGTCTCGCTCTGTCACCAGGCTGGAGTGCAGTGGTGCAATCTCAGCTCACTGCAAACTCCACCTCCGAGGTTCAAGCGATTCTCCTGCCTCAGCCTCCCGAGTAGCTGGACTACAGGCGCACATCACCACGTCTGGCTAATTTTTTGTATTTTTAATAGAGATGGGGTTTCACTATGTCCGCCAGGATGGTCTCAATCTCCTGACCACTTCGGCCTCCCTGAGTGCTGGGATTACAGGTGTGAGCCTCTGCGCCCGGCCTTTCCTCATTTTAAAGAGGAGAAACTGAACTTCTGTGCCTGCCACAGTCTCACAGGGAGGAAGTGCAGAGCCTGACCTGCAATGGAGGCTGCACAGCTTCACGGGCCCGCGCTTGCTAGACTGCCTCAATCAAGTCCACATCCACCAAACGCCAGGCCTGGCTCTGGGGACTAACTTAACAAATGGTGGTTAGTAGGGACATCTTCAACTAGACCCCTCAAGAGTAGGACCTGTTATATTTTGTTCAGAACCCAGCATAATGTTGTCCTAACAAATACTAGAGTGGTAACTACTCTCCTTCACCAGCCCTCAGACTAAGGTCCAAACAGGGGTATAGACCCAGGAGCCCCAGCAGCACTGGAGCGGTGCCTCCTTTGAACCTCAGCTCTGCAGGGGAGACCCAGGGATTAAAGGCCCTGAATCTGTAAGGCAGACAGCCTGCACTCTCGCTTACTGGCTGGGGAGAACCTGGCTGGGTAATTTCAGATCTCTGTGCCTCGGTGTCTTCTATAAGATGCAGCTTTTGGCCGGGCGTGGTGGCTCACGCCTGTAATCCCAGCACTATGGGAGGCTGAGGCAGGCAGATCACAAGGTCAAGAGATCGAGACCATCCTGGCCCACATGGTGAAACCCCATCTCTACCAAAAATACAAAAATCAGCTGGGCGTGGGGGCGCATGCCTGTAGTCCTAGCTACTTGGGAGCCTGAGGCAGGAGATTGCTTGGACCTGCGAGGTGGAGGCTGCAGTGAGTCGAGATCCTGCCACTGCACTCCAGCCTGGAGACACAGCAAGACTCCAACTCAAAAAATAAAAATAAAAAAAGATGGAGCTTTTCTAAGGACGAACTGAGTTTCATACCTAGAAAGTCTAAAGTCTGGCTCTCAGGCAGGGATCAATAAACTGTCGTGATTTCAATCATCGTGGCACAGCGCAGACACTCAGCCCATTCTTACCTCTGCAACTCTGCACTTCCTGTGTGGACTCTGAGGACACAGAATTTAAGATTCCTCCAGGGATGGCATCCGTCAACACAGAAACATAACTCCAATGGCTGAATCAACAATCTGTAATCAGATCAGCAGCATTCAGCGTCAATCAAAATGATGGCCAAGGAGCAGATGATTTAGTAAGTAGCTGGTTTCTGAAACTTCCTGACAGTCAAGCTCAGCCATCTGGCAAGGCCTCTTCCTTCTTTGGCCCATGACTCACTTGAAAAGAAACACATACTGACTTCACGCCAAATTCCACTTGTATCTCCTTTGTCCCTACTGTTCAGATGACTCGGAAACGATTTCAATCTGCAGCTGACCCTCCTCCCCCAGCCTACTTCTAATCTGCACAGAGCAAGCTGAGCAATCGGATCCAACTGGTCCCTTAAGAAGGGATCAAGAGGGAGGTCAAGGCAAAGACACACTCAAGACGAACATCCAGGAGTGTGCACCGATCACACGAGCTGTGTCTGTTCAAAGCCCAAGATGATGAGACCGGGGTTCTCACCAAGGTTTGGCCATCCTAGGCTGACATAAGGTGAGGCAGCTACAGCCCCTACTCCTGCCAGTGACAAGCCTGACCCAGAACTTCCGGGTCCAGAGGAATCATCATCAAGATGGTCACAGAAAAAGAGAAACCAAGCCAGGCCCTCCTCAAATCTATTCTTGACTCAGGCAGGAATCCATGAAGGCCGTTATCAGAGGGTGGCAATGCCGGATCCATGATGGCACTGAGCTCTGGGCTCACTTTCATCCTTGCACAGAATGTCTGCCCTGCGCCAGCCCGGCCCTCTCCAGCCCTCTTTTCTGCACACCCCAGTAACCTCGAGAGAGCAGTCAGAGCTCCCACGGCCCTCCCATGGCTCCCCAGCACTTCAGTATTATGTTCAAAGTCTCAGGCTCCTTGGCTTGGTATACAATGCCCTGTATCAGCTGACCCCGAGCCTCTATTTCTCCACAGGTAGCTCACTCCATCCCAACTCTTTCTGTTCTACCTACCTGCCCCAGAACAAAAACCACACTTCCAGTCACTTAACATATGTTGATCTCAAGATCAATACGACAGGGACCCTGGCCTATAAGGAGCGCACAGCACAGACCGCCCTGCTTTGCTCTTACTCTCCACTCTGCCTGGAATACTCTTTCCTACACTTTCCCATCTAGAAAATGCCTGCTCCATCCCTCGAAAGTCAGCAACTCTCTAACGCTTTCCTTGCTCCTTCCTCCCAGAGAGTTCATCCTGCCTTCCCTGTACACAGCAAGCAGCATTTTGTTTAGGAAGGAGCATGTTTCTCCAGCAAGACTGTGAGCTCCCCAAGAGCACAGCTCATGTCATGTCGTGTTTGTTTCTGCATCCCAGTGCCTAGGTCAACACTGGCCACATACAAGGTGATAAGGTGTGACTCTGTGTCCTCGCCTGAATCTCATCTTGAATTGTAATCCCTGTAATCCCCACAAGTGGAGGGAGGGACCTGGTATGAGGTGACTGGATCACAGGGGCGGCTTCCCCCGTCCTGCTCTGGTGATAGTGAATGAGGTCTCATGAGATATGTGGTTTTATAAGCGTTTGACAGTTTCTCCTACAGACGCTCTCTCACCTGCCGCCATGTAAGATGTGCCCATTTCACCTTCCACGCTGTAACTTTCCTGAAGCCTCCCAAGCGTGTGGAAGTGTGAGTCAATTAAACCGCTTTTCCTTATTAGTTATCCAGTCTTGGGCAGTTCTTTTTATTATAGCAGTATGAAAAAACGGACTAAGACACCAGGTATCCAAGGAATGCTGACCGGACGGGGACTTCTGCTTTCGGCTAACGTGGAGGAAGAGACAACAGATTCACTCTCCTGCCTCAGAAAAACTAAAAAGCCAGACAAAGCCAACAAAACACACAGAACGATAGTTTGTAAACACCGGACATCAGACAGCAGAGAATAATGATCCCTGACAGTGAGTACTACAGCTGCTCCAAGTGACTCCTCGAGGGACTCCAGGCCCAACGTACAGGGAGTGGAGAAGAGGAATTCAAACTGCAGGGAGGCCGGCGTAGCCGGAGCTCACAGAGCAGAGTACCAGAGAGAGAAGGGCCACACGGAGAACCCCAGAAACCTGCAGAGGGTCCCCCACCAGTTCTCAGCTAGTACCGATCTGTACCAGTCCAAGGCAACCATCCTCGGACCTCGAATTGAAACAGAAACAGTCTGCATGCCCACCAGCCACAGTGGAAAAACCTCATCATTCACGGGACATCGGTAAAGTACTAAAGACAATATTGCCTCCATGGTGAGGAAAAATCAGGCCCGGGCCTAAGGCTGTTCTGATCCCACCTAACAAGCCTTTAAAGAATCAAACTTCATGCCTGTAATCCCAGCACTTTGGGAGGCCAAGGCAGCCGGATCACCTGAGGCCAGGAGTTTGAGACCAGCCTGGCCAACATGGTAAAACCCTGTCTCTACCAAAAATACAAAAAAAAAAAAAAATTAGCTGGGTGTGGTGGCGGGCACTGATTTTTTTCTTTTGTTTATCCATTCACCTGTCAATGGACACTTAACGCGGCTCCCAACTTTTTGGCTATTGTAAATAACACTGCTACGAACATGGATATGCAAATACTTCTTCAAGTGTCTGCTTTCACTTCGTTTCATATATACTCAAGAGTGGAACTGCTAAATGATACAGCAATTCTATGTTTAAATTTTTGAGGAATTGCCATACAATTTTCCACTGGCTACACCATTTTACATTCCCACCAAAAAAGCACAAGGGTTTCCATTTTTCTACATCCTTGTCAATACTTATTATTTACTGTTTTGTTTTTTTAATAGCCATCCTAATGGGTGAAGTGGTAGCTCCTTGGGGTATTGATTTGCATTCCATAATGACTAGTGACATTGAGAATCTTTTCATGTGCTTACTGGCCATTTGTATATCTTCTTAGAAGAAATATCTATTCAAGCCCTTCACTCATTTTTGAATCAGGCTGGTTTTTGTTGTTGAGTAGTAGAAGTTCTTTGCATATTCTGGACATCAATTCCTAACACAAATTTTTTAAAGTTGGATTAGCTATACTAATATCAGACAAAGTAGATTTCAGAGCAAAGAATATTTCCAGGGGCTAAAAGGGTCATCTCACAATAAATGACATAGTTTGGATATCTGTCCCCTCCAAATCTGTTAAAATGTGATTCCCAATGTTGGAGGTGGGGCCTAGTGAGACATGTTTAGGTCACACGACAGATCCCACACGGGTGGCTTGGTGCCCTCCCTGCAGTAATGAGTTCTTGCTCATTTAGTTCACATGTGAGATGGTTGCTTAAAAGAGCCCGGCATCTCTCTGGCTCCCTCTCTGGCTGTGAGACACACCTGTTCTCCTTTCACCTTCTGCTATGAGTAAAAACTTCCCGAATCCTCACCAGAAGCAGATGCTGGTGCTATGCTCCTTGTACAGGCTACAGAACTGTGAGCCAAATGAATCTCTTTTCTTTACAAATTATCCAGGTTCAGGTATTCCTTTATAGTAATGCAGAACAGACTAATACGATACAACAAAGAAAGTCAATTCATACAGGGACATATAATACTCATAAAGGATTATGCAATTAACAACACAGCTTCAGAACATGTGAAACACAAACTGACAAAACTACAAGGGGAAATGCGCAAATCCACAATTATAATCAGAGTGTCAATGTCCCTCTTTCAATAACTGAAAGAACAGAACACCAAAAATCAGTACGGACACACAAGACGAACATCACAAACCAACCTGCCTGAATTGAAAGTTACTCAACACTTGACTCAACAATAGCAGAATACACAATCTTCTCAAGTGCTCACAGAACACTTACCAAAATGGACCATATTCTGGGCCACAAAACAAGCCTCAGGAAATTTAATAGAAAAGTATGTTCTCTAAAAGAAAATTAGAAATCAGTGTTTTTTTCAAAAGAACACTACCCCTGTGACTAATTTTAGTCATGCTTGAGGTGGGACCAGATAATCAGTAGTGGGACTAAAAATACTTACAGGTCTTCAAAGCTGCGCTCACCTGCCTGAGCTATCTGCTTGAAGTTCACTGGGGAGACTCTCTGCCCTCTCCAGCCCATCCTAAGCCCCAGGGGTCCTACTTGTCAGCCCCAGCTAAATCAAGACAAACCTGTTTGATATTTGCTTAATCTTTTACATAAACAAGCAAATGAAGATAAAGAGGTGAGATATGAATTGAAAGGAGCACCTACTAAGCAAACATGCTTTAAAGCTGACAAAACCTCTGACAGGGCTGCCATTAGACAACTCTCTGTCACTCGGTAACCACCTGGGAACAGACCAAAACCTTGCGGAAACGCCACACCCTTCAAAGAAACTTCTAACAGAACTTCCACACAACAGAGATCCAACCGGATTAAAACAGTGAAATCCATTAACTCAGGTCTTCAGTGACCTGATTTCGTCAGCCTGGAAAACCCCTATTATTACTGGTCAGCAGCGTCCAGAAATGATTCATATAGCTAGTTAACACAATGGCCTTTTAAAGGCAAATCAACAAACTTCAAAGCAATAAACAAAAAGAAAACAAGAACCCTCAGGAATAATCTCACATCTAAGCTACCAGCGGCCCAGCAAATCTACAAAGTTCTTAAAGGCGGCGGTGCTTCCCAAACTCGCCTTACAGTAAGAATCACCCAGTGCATTTATTAAAAATAGATTTCTGGGCCCTCCTCCAGATAACAGCACAAGAATCTCCAGAGGTGGAGCTCCGTATTTTTAACAAGCATCAGAAATGATTCTTAAGGTCCAGTACCTTAGGGAAACTAAAGGGTCACAGATTAAAAGCATATTAGCCTCGAAATGAGACTGATGGGTTAGAAATCCCTTGTCCAGGACACTGTGGCTCATGTCTGTAATCCTAGCACTTTGGGAGGCCGAGGTGGGTGGATTACCTGAAGCCAGGAGTTTGAGACCAGTCCAGCCAACATGGTGAAAACCTGTCCCTACTAAAAAATACAAAAATTAGCCAGGCGTGGTGGCAGGTGCCTATAATCCCAGCTACTTGGGAGGCGGAGGCAGGAGAATCACTTGAACCCGGGGTGGGGTCAGAGGTTGCAGTGAGCTGAGATCACACCACTTCACTCCAGCCTGGACAAAAGAGTGAAACACCGTCTCAAAAAATAAATAAATAAACCAACTTGGCCACTTACTGGCTGTGTGACACTAGCCAGGTTACCTAAAATCTCTGCAACTCGCTTCATCCATAAAATGGAATCACCACCTATTTGGACATGTTCGCAGAATATCGCATGTTCAGAAACCCCCAGAACAGTGCCCAACAAACGGAAGCCAAGCAAGAAATCACAGCTGTTAAAAAAAAAAGAAGAAGAAAGAAAGAAATCACAGCCATTGCTACCTGCAAAACAGTGGCCAGAAACTGCCCAGAAAGTCTACAATGAAAATCTTCTACTTAATGGAAATTACAAAGGCACAGAACCAAATTTCCGAGATAATCTAGGAAAAAGGCTTTTCTGGGCACTATGACCTCAAAGAACAAAGACTCACTTCAGCGTCTAGTATTTTCACTTCAACAGTCCCCAGTCCCACCTGGAACTACAGAGTTCAGGTCTCTGCAGGGCTGCAGCTTTGGACAACAAAGTAAAAGTCTTTCTTTCTCCAGTTCCTCGGGCACCACCACCTCCAGCTCTAACGCCAAGAGTCACAGAACTGAGAGTCGGGTGGCAGCATCTTGGTGCATAAGTAGGAAATGGGACTCCTGGAGCCAATAAAGGGGGCGGAAAAGGCCTTAGGTAGCAACAGGGAAACTGAGGTACTGCTGGAGCGAAGAGAAATTAGTCTGGCAAGTTTCTGGAGCTAAAGACTGGCATTCCCAGCGTAGGTGAGCCCAGACAAGGTGTAGCTGAGAAAGCACTGCCTCAGCTCAGGGGCTAAAATCCCAAGCTGTATAGTCAACTCTGCCAGTAATTCACAAAACAGCTCCAGGTGACTCCTTCTCCCGTCGGTAAAGTGGGAAATCACCTCACTGGCTGAGGAGGAAATGGAGAGGAAACAGGGACAGAATGTTTATGTATACGCCCGCTGCCCTTTGCACCCAGAGGGTCCCGGGGTAAGAACTGGTCAATGATGCTGGGAGGTCCAAGTCTGAGTCCTGAACAAAGCCAAAGCTGAAAGTCCCATCTCTCAATGCCCTGGGGAAAGGGCACAAGCCAGGAAGTCAAAGACCAAAGTCCCTCCAACACCCACTCTGCCACTCGTCTCCCGCGTGCCCTCTAGCAAGTGAGACCCTACTCTTAGACCTCAGCTTCCCCATCTATACAATAGGCTAACTGGCTGTAATGTCATCAGAATTGTAACCGCAGATGCTCACTTATGGGGCGAGGGGCTACCGAGGTGGAAAAAGAAAGGTGGCGGTGAGGGGCGGGGCGGGGCTGGAGGTGCGACCTGCAGGGGAGCCGGGGCGGCGCCTCGCGCCCTCCCTCCCTCCCACCGCAAGGGGCAGGGGCGCCGGCCCCTGGCGCGAGTCACGCGCCCCTCGTGCCCAATCACCGGCCTCTGCCAGGGTGAGGCGGGCAGGCGGAGGAGCCCGGGGAGCCACCGCCGGCGCCGTCCCCCACCGTCGCCCTCTGCCCCGCCTGCCTGCGGCAGAGCCGGGACCCTCCCCAGTCCCCGCTCACCTGCCAGGGCTGCCGCCGCCGCCGCCGCCACCGCGGGTTAAACCGCAGCCGCTCCCACACTTCCGGGGTCCGCCAGGCCCGCCCCCCACCGGATGTGACACCCCCTGCAACGCCCGACGCCGCAGCGGCGGGCGTGCTCGCCCCGCGACCCCGTTGGGCGCCCCGCCTGGCGCGCCTGAGTTACCACGACATCGTGCCACACAGACACTCGCGGCCGCCCGGGCCACACCCACGGGCGCGCCCAAGAGACCCCTCGCGCGCGGGCGCGCCGCACGCCCCGGCCTCGGGAGGAGACCCCGCCCACTGGGCGGAGACCAGGCCGCTCTGAGCGAGTGCGCCTGCGCGGGCGTCCACGGCCTCCAGAATGGCCAGCGAGCATTCGCTCTGTCACTGCATGACCTTGGGAGGCTGGTCCGAGGGACCCGAAAGGAGCCAGAAGCAGATGGAATTCCAGCACCTAGGAGGAGCCCCAGATGGTCTGAGCTCAGACTGAGGAGCCCCAAGGCCACCACGTATTCATTTTCATTTACTAGTCTCTTTCCCCGCCCATTCATTCTACAGAATTACCGATGTTCCCCCGTCTCCTACCTTCCCTCCTAGAAACAGGAGCTTCCAGCATAATAAGGAAGTCCCCTCTGCTCTAACCCTTTAAAAAAGGAACGTGAAGTGACCGGTTGTTAACCAATCGGGTTTTTTTTTCTATTCTGTTTCCTTTCCCTCCTATGAAACCCACTGCTCTGCTATTTCCCAGGGGGATTTTAGACCAAATAAGTCTATTTACAATGGTAACTGATGTCAATGTCTAAAGTTTCCAACCTCTCAAAATAAAGAAGTTGACCAAAAGGGGAGAATTTTTAAGTTTAGCCTAAAGCTGTCTCCTGGCATTTTAAGTTTGGCCTAAAGGTTTCTCCATACACAGTGAAAGAGAACCTACTCATACGGATCACAGAGTTTCAGCCAATCACAAGCAGACAACTGTTCAAATCTTGTTCCAAAAAGGCAAATGTCCATCTGTCATTGTTACGGAACCAAACTGGATCCCTTGGCCCTCAGAAAGCCAAACAGAAGTATCAGGTTTTTGTAGAGGGAAAGGTTTGTTGCAAGTCAGCTGGCAAGGAGAAATGCTCAAATCTGTCTCCCCAAGCCGGGGCTGTGGCAGGTGTTGTGGGCAGAGGGTAATGAGCCGTGATCTGATTGAATCTTGCAATGAGCAATGACCTGACTAGATCTTGCCATGGGATGATGCCATGGCTCAATCTGGTTAGATCATGAATTATGCCATGTATCTACTTCTTCATTCTGTCCCCATTCTTTGGTCTGAGCATTTAGGTTCCGCCTGTGGCTGCACGCTTGATTTGCCTGGGCATGCTCAGGTTACATAACTTGCAACCTAGGATCATGGCAACTGAAAAACAACTCACCATCTTATTATCACACAAAGTTGAACCAGATGGGGCTGGTTCTGCATTTACATAACTAGTCCAACTGTTTCTGTACCTCACTTCTTTTTCTGGACATCACTTTCCTTTTTCTTTTCTTATTTTTAAAATGTAATGATCATTATTTTTTAAATAGAAATAGGGATTCACTATGTTGCCCAGGCTGGGTCTGCAACTCCTGGGCTCAAGCAGTCCTCCAGCCTAGGCCTCCTAAAGTGCTGGGATGACCCTCATGAGCCACCATGCCCAACCTACTTTTCTTTTTCTATCCGTAAATGTTATCTGACCACGTGGCAGCCCCAGAGTCACTCTGAACCTATTCTGGTTCTGGGGGCTGACTGATTCACAAATCATTATTTGCTCAATTAAACTGTCAAACTTAATTTGTCTAAAGTCCTTCAAACAGAAGGGGTCCATGAAGAAGGCAATCTCAACTACTGACACTTCTAAGACACTGGTGACTCCTCTGAGGGATGCCATGTTGGTTTTGCAAACATTTCACTTGGTACATAATGTCATGACTTCCATTGACAGCACCTGCCTGAAAGCTAGGTTGAAATTGCTTCTGAGGGGTAGGGAGAACCAAGGCAGATGACCTTAACTTTTTGTCATAAGCCCTTTTGTGCTATGTGATTTTTTTTTATTTTTTATTTTTAGACAAAGTTTCACTCTTGTTACCCAGGCTGGAATGCAATGGCTCACTGCAACCTCCTGACCTCAGGTGATCCGCCCACCTCAGCCTCCCAACGTGCTGGGATTACAGGCCCGAGCCACCACATCCAGCTGCTATGTGATTTTTAACTCTGCCTGTGTATCATTTCCGAAGGAAAATAATTAGGAAACACTACTGATGGATTAGCTTGAGTTTATATCCAGCAATCTCTTCACTGAGTGGTACCATGTTGGAAGGTGGAACATGGACATGATGGCTGGAGCAAGAGTAGTCATCTTGAACCATGAGGCAACCGTAGGAATAGAGGCCACACTGGTGGCCCAACAAAATAGAAGGAACCTGAGCCCTGATACCATAAAGGGCCATGACATCGCTGGATGCCTGCCTCTGGGCTCTGCGTGAGAGGGAAATAAACCACCTCCTTCACTGTTGTTTTGGGTTTTCTGTCACTTGTGCCCTTTAATTCTTAGACTGTACTTCTGGAAAGCCCCTATACCCTAAGACTGGGTAAGTGCCCCCCTTGTACGTTATTCAAACAACCCACCCTGCAATCCTTTCTTCTTTTTTTTTTTTAGACAGAGTTTTGCTCTCGTTGCCCAGGCTGGAGTGCAATGGCACGATCTCTGCTCACCGCAGACTCCACCTCCCGGGTTCAAGCGATTCTCCTGCCTCAGCCTCCCGAGTAGAGAGGATTACAGGTGCAAGCCACCGCACCTGGCTAATTTTTTGTGTTTTTAGTAGAGACGGGGTTTCTCCATGTTGGTCAGGCTGATCTCGAACTCCCAGCCTCAGGTGATCCTCCCACCTCGGCCTCCCAAAGTGCTGGGATTACATGCGTAAGCCAGCGCGCCTGGCCTCCTTCAATCCTTTCTCAGCATTTTCTACACTTTTCTGTAGTTGACCTTTCAGTCTCCCAGATAGTAACTTCTCTAAGGACAGGCAGAGACTCTATTTTATACATCATTTTATGCAGATGCTGGAAACTGCTAAAGCTAAAAAAAAAAAAAGAAGAAGAACTTGTGAATGTGACAGACATGATGATTCTGCCAAGGGTGTTGAGGGAAAATGACAAACTGCCGCCTACGCTCTCTCTGCATGTCCTGAGTCATTGCCAAGTTATCTTATGGGGGCAGGGGGTGCTGGCCCTCCTGAATAACCAAAGATAGAGAATTAGGACAAAGGAGGGAGGAGTAGAAAATTGCAGGAAGTTCGGGTCCTGGGAGGAAGGTGGCATTGGGGAAAAGGGTGCTCTCTTTATCTTGTTCCTGCTGTTTTCCACTTTTGGCCCTTTGCAGCTTCCCCTGGCTCCAGCCCCATCCCCTCCAGTCTTGGTCTGCTATCGCCTGCACCTGTGTTCCCGTGTTCTATACCTCAATTACACCCAATTTCATTCCTAGCTGGAGTGGCCCTGATAAATGAAAAAAAAAAATGTTATAGACACAAACAGCCCTAGTTAGAGAAAGCAGTACCTTCGTTGTTTCTCATTTTTGATCATTCTTTGTTCATTCATTCCACATGCATTCACTGAATGGCTACATTCCTAAGACCTGTGGGTACGCAGATGAACAGATACCCTCTCCAGCCTCAAGGAAGTCACATTTTTGGTTGAGATTTGAGAGGAAACAAGATGTCTCTGTCCCAAGATTCCTCAGTCCTTCAAATGACCCTGATCAGTAGCAAAAAAATATGACAGTACGTTGAAGTACATGTTGCATTGCCCCCTACCCACTTCTAAAAGTGGGGGTTTTGTTTTGCTTGTTTGCTTAGCTGCTCAGCCCTGGACCTTGTCATACTGGTTGAATGGATGGACACGCAATGCAAAGTAAGGAAGACACGACAGGGGACTTAAGAGTTCCAGGTAACAAGACATTTGAGAAGCTGAGATGTTGAGAGAGATTTCGGAACTGAGTTGGAAGGCGGTGTTTGTTTGTTTGTTTGTTTGTTTGTTTTTGAGATGGAGTTTCACACTGTCACCCGGCTGGAGTGCAATGGCACAAGGAAGGCAGTTTTTAAAGGAAGTTGTGCTGTGTGGCATGTAGAATCTCTAATCTGGTCTTCAGAAGATCGTCAGTGAAGAGCTACCTGATCATTTTATTTCTGGAGGCGGGAGACAGATCCGCGTGGCTGGTTTCTCGCTTCCGCTTCTTCCTTGTGGCTCCCACGCTGCGCCGGGCCGTTCAGCCTGCACAACGCAGGCAGTGGATTACGCCTCTGAGGTAGGGGCTGGCAGCTGCCTACAACAGTATCCATTCTCTGCTTTTCCTTAAAAACAGTACATTTCATTCAGAATAGCAATGTGCCCAGTCAGCCAAAAGACTGCATTTCCCAACCTCCTTTGCTGTTAGTTGTGACTAGGTGACTGTGATTTAAGCAAGGATTTCTTGGAAGGCTGTTCTAAAGAAGCTGGTTGAGCCTGGATGTGAGTCTTTTTGCCTTTCCCCGCCTTCTTCTAACTATCTAGATTTCAGATGTGCTGGCTGGAACTCCTGCAGCCATATTAGACTATGAGGTGACTTTGAAAATAGAAACCATTCCAACTCTGCACAGCCTATCCCCAGACTTATTTAAGGGAGAAAAAATAAGTTGTGTCTTTTTAAAGTTGTGCTTCTTTTAGGCTTTCTATAATGTGCACCTAAACTTAAACCTGATACTACTACACAGTGACTGTATTCTTAGTCTGCTCAGGCTGCCATTAAAAAAAAAAAAAGAAAAAAAACAGACTATTACAGGCTCATGCCTGTCATCATGAAGGTGGAAGCCTTTAGGACAAGAGTCCCATTTCTCACCTATCCCCTTCCCCTGCATCAGGACAGAGCGTCCTTCAGCCTGAGTCCCTGTGTAGCTGTGAGGAGCAGAGCTCCCTGCCAACCCAGGTCGGCTCACGCCTGTAATCCCAACACTTTGGGAGGCCAAGGTGGGTGGATTACCTGAGGTCAGGAGTTCGAGACCAATCTGACTGACGTGGTAAAACCCAATCTCTACTAAAAATACAAAAAAAAGTAGCCAGACATGGTGGCGGGTGCCTGTAATCCCAGCTACTCAAGAGACTGAGCCTCAGTTTCCTCCTCTATAAGTTAGAGACACTATCAGCCTCCCAAGGCATCCACAAAGAGCACATGGGAAAATGCATTCAACAGGTGTCCCCAGGTCTCCTCCAACGAGTCGTGCTCCACAGCTGGGAGGCCAGAGCGGCCAGGGAAGGCTTCCCTGAGGAGGGAACATTGATTAAGATGACGGCTGAATACTGAAGAGGAGCCAGCCATGCAGAGAACTGGGAGAAGAACATTCTAGACAGTGGGAACAGCAATTGCAAAGGCCCAAGGTGACCAAGCTCGGTAAGTGGCTGCTTTTCCATCTCTGGTCTCCTTTCCACACTCGAACACACCCTTGTCAACCAGGGGCCATCGAGGCCACAAGTTATGCACCATGACCTCATCATACGCTTGATTTGTTGATTCAAGCAAATTATCAACAATGAGTTATTCGCCCCTTTCCCAGAACGGCAAGCCCTGGGGCTGCGTGCAAACAGAGGCAGGAAAATGAGAGGTGTCAATAGAGCTGAGTTTGCTCTGGGCCCAGGGCCATGTAGATAAGCTGGTTATCATCAGCAGCTTCAGCTCCAAGAGGCAAGTGGGTGTCACTGTCACCACTAGGAACTCTGGGGTTTGTTTGTCCTCCCGAGTGGCGGCCCCAGCACACCCACAGGGCAAGAAGGAAAGTAAACGCTCTTGTCTAATCTCCCCCAGGGGGATCACAGGACCCCCCACCCCGAAGGTGGCTCATCTTTGGTAGGGTCTGGTTCTTTCATTCCTTCTTGGAAGGTGGCCGTGGGGCATCAGCATCTGACCATGAGGTCCGGTGGCTAGAAGTCAACTTGAAGTTGAGACCCAGGTCATGCCCAGGCTTTTCCAGTGGGCCTTCCTTGATCCATTCTTTATCTCCATAGAGGGAAGTCCCCAGAGAGCATGTGTTGTTCATCTCTCATCAGGACCTTCCAAGTTCCAAGGTGTTTCTTGAGCATCAGAGAGGCAACAAGTCCTGGAATGCACCCTTGTCTGACCCTCCTAACTCATCCAAGAATCCCCTAAGATGAACTAGAACACGGGGTTTCAGTTGTCAAAGTCTGACCCGAAAATGCTCATTACTCTAAATGCAGGCCCGTCCCATACCAGTTTACAAGGGTTGGTGTGGAATGAACAAGGAGGGGAAGCTGTGGGGCTGCCAAGCTGGGCACATGTCAAGCACCAACTGGCACCACTGCCTCCTGCTTCCTGGTGCCACTCCAGCCGGGGCTGCCCCCCCTGTGCCTGACAGCTTCCAATGTTGCTTTCCTGCTCCCATGAGATGGCAAGTCTGGCAACAGAATTGGAGCTGGTCTTAAGGAGGAAGAGGAAAGAACTTCAGCTCTGGCACCTGCAGACCTCCAAGGTTTACCTACGGAAGCTGGCAGCGGGGACTGCAATTGACCATTCTCTCACCTTTCCCTTCTGGCAGCTCCCCAAGCCTAGCCCTGGCGGGAAGAGGATTACCTGAGAACCAGAAGCCCCAGCTCCCAGCACTTCACTGACCTACCATGCATCCCTTTCGTACATTATACAGCCCAGCTCTCAGTTTCCCCTTCTTCGGGATAACAGGCGTACTTGTCCAAGAACAGCAATCATTCCAGGGCCACTGCCGAGGCTGGTTAGTGGAACACATGGCTGAAAGGATTGCATGTTGCTCAGGATTCTGGGCCACATCCAGTGGTCGGGGTGCTTGGTTCACTGGCAATATCTGCCTTGGACTCAGAGGGAAGCATGGTAGACCAGGTGCCACGTCACTGCCACGCAGGAGCTAAAGGACCTTTGTACCATGGAACATTCCACTGCTTGGATTCTATGGGATGAGATCTGACAGCCACACAGCAGAATTTACCAGCTGGGAAGCTCGTGGATTCTTCTGCAGAAACTCGAGTTAGGCTGATGAATTACCTTTACTGAAGGAATGAATAACAATAACAAAATTCTACGTCCAAGACGTACCAAGAAAGGCTGGATATATCAGACAATACGTTTAAAGGAGAGGTGTTTTGGGTGACCTGCTATTTTGCTGTCCAGCTTGAGATGATGCCAACAGCCATAGAGTAATAAAAGGGCCACTGAATGTGGCCTCTTTCCCATGGTTCCCCAGCAGCAAGCATTCTCTGCCACCTCTTTATCTGGAGCAGGAATTCTAGCAGGAAGACCCAGCCTCCAGCACCGGGTGACCAGAAGATTCAAGTGGGACTGGATTACTGGTAGGTACTGCAGAAATCTTCGCTTTCTCCCCCGACAGCCGGCTGTTCTCTGTTTAAACTTGACTCACTGCATACGTCCCGCTGCCAGAGGAGACCCTATTCCAACTTCTTGTTCCATTCTGCAGACCCTCTGTTCACCCCACTGGGCTCCTCATCTATCTTAGTCTGCCTTCCATCCTGGGCAAGCTGCCCTCCTCTCTATTATTTAGTCATGAATTCTTCCTCCCTTCCCTTCACAACATCCCCACTGCTTCAGTCTTTGGCTTCTTCCCTACCGGAGCCCCTGGCCCTTCCCTGCAGATGATACTAAAGAAGAGAAAGCCAGGGGCTGTGCGCAGTGGCTCACGCCTGTAGTCCCAGCACTTTGGGAGGCAGGGGCGGGGAGATCACAAGGCCAGGAGTTCGAGACCAGACTGGGCAATATGATGATACCCTGTCTCTACTAAAGATAAAAAAAAAAATTAGCCAGGCATGGTGGTGCATGCCTGTAATCCCAGCTACTTGGAAGACTAGGGCAAGAGAATTGCTTAAACCCAGGAGGCGGAGGTTGCAGTGAGCCAAGATCTCGCCATTGCACTCCAGCCTGGGGAACAGGGAGTAACTCCTCCTCAAAAAAAAAAAAAAGAAGAGAAAGAAAAAGCCAGGGAGGGAGACACCCATTCTATTGTTTCTAAAAAGTTCTCATCCTTTCCGCTTCCAGGCCCTGACACAGCTCCTCAGAGTCTCAAGCTGATGGTCAGACGACCTGGAGGGGCAGTGGTGGGAGACAGCAGCTTGAGGGCCGGGCCTGAGCAGGGCCGGGCCTGAGCAGGGCCGGGGAGGCTCAGGAGCAACTCGGCCAGTTGAGGCCCGCCCAGGTTGGCCGTGCTTGGGACCCTCAGGGTACCACTAAAGACAGAAACTTCCAAATGGCAATGTTGTCAACTTATTACAATAAATGGTCAGACGTCAAAGTAAAAATGAATAATGTCATGGACCTCATATTCCATCTTTCAGCATCAAGAAATTACACTCTTCTGCAAATCTTTGTTTTATCTACACACTTTTTTATTCCTTTTGTTGAGACAGGGTCTCACTTTGTTGCCAGGCTGGAGAGCACTGGTGCGATCTCCCAGGTTCAAGTGATTCTCATGCCTCAGCCTCCTGAGTGGCTGGGATTACAGGTGTGTGCCACTACACCCAGATACGTTTTGTATTTTTAGTAGAGACAGGGTTTTGCCATGTTGGCCAGGCTGGTCTCAAACTCCTGGCCTCAAGCAATCCACCTGCCTCAGCCTCCCAAAGTGCTGGGATAATAGGCATGAGCCATGGCACCTGGTGACACCCTACCCTTATTTTTTTTTATTTTATTCTTTATATATTTATATTTGTGGGTGTATTTTAAGGCACACAGCTTATCATTTCACTGTAAATACTTTATTGTATAATTCTGGGAGACAAGGGTCACATGTATATACAGCTGTAATTAAAATACATGTATTCAAATGTATGCATAGTGGCAATGCTTTTTTTCCAAACAAAATTACCAACTTTTTTTTTTAATTACCAACTTTAATATTACCTAATTTCCAGTCCACGTTCAAATTTCTTTGGTTCTCAAAAATGCCTTTTAACAGTTGATAGATTCAGATCCAGGATCAAGATCTTGAGATTATCCACATGTGTTGCATTTGGTTGCTGTTTCTTGGGACTTTTAATAGGAGGGGCACGGTGACTCACACCTGTAATCCCAGCATTTTGGGAGGCTGAGGCAGGCAGATCACCTGGGCTCAACAGTTTGAGATCACCCTGGCCAACATAGTGAAATCCCGTCTCTACTACAAACACAAAAAATTAGCCAGGCATGGTGGCAGTCACCTGTAATCCCAGCTACTCAGGAGGTTTCGGCAAGAGAATCACTTGAACCTGGGAGGCAGATGTTGCAGTGAGCTAAGATCGCGCCACTGCACTCCATCCTGGGCAACAAGAATGAATCTCCATCTCAAAGAAAAAAAAAGACTTTTAATAGATAGCTGTCCCCCTTTACGTTCCATTAATTTATTTATAAAGTATGTGTATGGGGCTTGTTAGAATGGCCAAAATCCAGAATACTGACCACACTGAATGCTGGCAAGGATGTGGAGCAACAGAAACTCTCATTCATTACTGGTGGGAATGCAAAATGGCACAGCCACTTCAGAAGACAGCTTGGGTTTGTTATAAAGTTAAACTTCCTCTTGCCATATTACCCATCCGTCACTCTGTTTGGATTTACCCAAAGGAGTTGAAACTCCATCTCAAAAAAAAAAAAAAAAAAAAAATTTTGCAAACCAAAAAATTGCAAAACAGTGAGTTCCCAATTCTACCATGCCTTCTGAATGTACTCGTTGGAATTTATTATTAATTTATTTACTTTGAGTCACGCCTCACTCTGTCACACAGGCTGACGTGCGGTGGCACCATCTTAGCTCACTGCACCCTCAACCTCTCGGGCTCAAGCGATCCTCTTGCCTTGACTTCCCAAAGTGTTGGGATTACAGGTGTGAGTCATCGTGCCTGGCCGGATTGGATTTTTAATAGAAGAGGTGCCTCTGCTAACCATGTAACCTTTGCAGAGAGGAACCAGTTAGAGCAAGAGTTGCCATCTCTATAGGTTCTTTTTTTTTTTTTTTAAAGGTAATCAGTTATTTAATTAGATCATCAGGACATTTAAAATACCAATTTGTGAGGATAAATTCTATTTGTCAGGGCAAACACAGATCGCAGGTAGCCCTGGAGCTGAGGAATAGCTTTGATTTTTGGTAAAATTTGTGAGTCCACAGCTTTCTGATCAATCTTGCGCTGCTCTGTAATCTCATATTTCTCTTTTTCTGTGTCGAAGATCTCACCTTCCTGGTGTCTGGGCTTTCGCAGCTGCTGCTTCTTGAAGTAAGCATCAGTAAGATGTTTTGGGATTTTTACATTGCTGATATCAATTTTGGTTGAGGTGGCAATGACAAATTTCTGGTGCGTTCTTCACAGAGGAACTCGATTGAGGACCAGAGGTCCAGTCACAAGTAATAAGCCACTAGCCAGCTGCTTCAGGAAAACCACCCTTTTGCCCCTGTGGCGTCCAGTGAGGATGATCAGAATGGTCCCGGGGGTGATACTGGCTCGCAGTTTTCTCACGTGCTGACTGAAGGGTTTTTTGCCGTGGCTCAACAGCTTTCGAGGCACATCTTCAGTAGGATAATACCTAGGCATCTTGCGAAGTTTAACCACCCGGGTACCGCCGTTTTTGTCACCACCAACTGGTTTTGTAACAGTTGCAAGAACCTTCTCCTTCTTTTTCTTTTCAACCTTGGATTTAGCCGCTGAGTACTTCCTCTTATACATGGCCTTTCTGGAATACATGGCAGATCGGGAATACCTGCCAATTCCTCTGACAAGAACAGGATTGCGGCTGCAATGGGGCTTCCCTTCTTGGGCTTTTTAGCCTCGAGGTTACCCTTTTTCACTTTGCTACCAGCATCAGCCTTCTTGGCTTCAGGTTTCTTCTCTTTAGTATCCGGCTTCTCAACTTTTTCACCCGCCATCTTGCAAGATGGGAAAGACTCTTTTTGTTTTTTTTTTTGAAACAAAGTCTTGCTCTGTCACCCAGGCTGGAATGCAGCAGCGCAATCTTGGCTCACTGCAACCTCCGCCTCCCGACCTCAAGCAATTCTCCACCCTCAGCCTCCTGAGTAGCTGGGATTCCTAGCATTCGCCACCACGTCTGACTAATTTTTTATTTTTAGTAGAGACAGGGTTTTAACATATTGGCCACGCTGGTCTCGATCTCCTGGCTTCAAGTGATCTGCCCGTCTCGACCTTCCAAAGTGCTGGGATTACAAGCATGAGCCACCACACCCAGTCAGGAATTTTTTAATAAAGCAGCTTTCTTTTCCTTATTCCTTAAACTGATGTTAAAACGAAAAACTTTTTAGTCAACTTTTTAGAAAAATCTCACTTCTTCCTCTGCCTCCCCATAAGTAACAATTTTTATTAGTTTTTGGCTTATTCTATCACAGTTTCTTATTTAAAATAGACATATGTGCATATATGTATGCATATGCAAAAGCACCATTCTGCCGACCGCCTTTTTAAAACTAAAGAAGTCCTGGTGCAGTGGCTCACACCTGTACAGTTTGGGATGCTGAGGTGAGTGGATCACCTGAGGTCAGGAGTTCAAAACCAGCCTGACCAACATGGTGAAACCCCATCTCTACTAAAAATACAAAATTAGCTGGGTGTGGTGGTGGGCACCTGGCATCCCAGCTACTCGGGGGGCTGATAGGACAATTGCTTGAACCTAGGAGGTGGAAGTTGCAGTGAGCCAAGACCGCACCATTGCACTCTAGCCTGAGCAACAAGAGTGAAAATCCATCTCCAAATCAATCAATGAATCAATCAATCAAAGCAATGTGCCCTGGAGATCCCATTCGTGGAGATCCCATTCATTTCATTTCTCTTTCCATTGCATTACACCCTTTGTGTGTCCGCTCTGCACTCTGGCTTATTAAGCAATCCTCTGTAGATGGACTTTTCTGACGTGTTTCTAGTCTTCTGCAATGACAAATGATGCTGCAATGAATTGCTTGTACATACATCTTTTTGGTATTTTGCCAGTGTGCCTTTGAGATAGATTCCTAGAAATAGAATTGCTGAGCTAAAGGTCATATATGTATGTGCAATTTGCTAGATATTGTCAGATTCTCTCAGTAGAGGTCAAACTGACACAGAGCCCCAGCCAGGCACAGTGGCTTATGTCTATAATCCCAGCACTCTGGGAGGCCAAGGCACAAGGATAAACTTGAGTCCAGGAGTTCAAGACCAGCCTGGACAACATGGCAGAAGCCTGTCTCTACAAAAAAAAAAAATCCAAATATATATATATATATATATGCAGAGCCCCCACATCATTTGCAACCCAAGCCTGGGATTGCAGTGAGCCGAGATCACGAGGTCAGCCTTGGCACTGCTCTACCCAAGATGGACGTAGACTGGATCTGGATCTTATATGGGAACATGAGGGCCCTGGAAGTCCTAGAAGGAGCCATACCATTCCATTTTCTTTATTTTGGCTGGAAAAATACCAGTTTAAGAAGGTAGCTCTTCTCATCTCAGGCAAGCAGAAACTCTCGGTGGTCCTTTTTTGTCTTTTTTGATTGGCAAGACACTCTAATTATTTCTTTTTATTTGGCAGACAAAATGTTCCCAGCCAGGATCCTGTCAGGGAAATTACAGCAGGTGCTCATCAAGTGGGAGTTCTCTGTAAGCCCTTTGGTTTATCTGATAGTCTTTCTTTACAAATGGAAGGAAGAGCAATGCATTTCATCTGTTATTCATTCAGCAAACATGAATTGAACACCCTCCCTTTCTATCCCCTTTCTACCCTCCCTTTCTGCCTCCTTTCTACTCCCACCTCTAGGCCAGAAATAAAATCCTGCACATCCCACAGTTAGTTGAGGTTTGGCCCACACTATGTTTCTTGAAAAACAAATGAATTAGCTGCTAACATCTAAAGATCCGGGATTTCACATAAATATCCAGACTTTTGACTTATGATGATATTATTGTCTATATACACACATCAGTTTCATCGACAGTTCCTGGTTCATAACTCCCATAGCCCTTGTTACAGTCTGTTATTACAAGATTAGCGTATGTTAGGCCTCTACCCAGGCCTCAGAAAACAGAATCTTTCTCCCTGACCTTCTCCAGCTTTCTTTTCACCGGCTCGTTTTTCTCCCTAAGGCAGGTCTTAGCACCTAAAACTATGTTCTAATCTTCCCCTGCCTCTGCCCCTAAAGAAATTCTCTGACTGACCTTGCGTAACTGCGCGTCATAAAACTCCACTTCAGAAGGGGTCCTGCCCCATACCCTGCAGGAAGGAATGCTGTACAGAGCGGCCAAGAAGAATCTCAACAGACGGGCACTGCTGGGTTTCCCCACTCAGCTTATCAGCACTCGATCATTCCCTTTTCGTTCAGTTGCGCTTCCACACGGCTGTCCGTGCTTCCCTCGTGCCTATCCAATGAGGTCTCTGTAAAAGGCCCAAGAGGGTGGAGTTTGGAGAGCTTCCATAAAGCAGAGTATGTGGCGGTTCCTGGAGGGTGGGGCGCCCGCGGAGGGCATGGAAGCTTCACGCCCCCTGTCCCATACCTCCCCCCACGCAGCTCTTCATCTGTATCCTTTGTTATATCCCTTATAGTCAACAGGTAGATGTATGTAAATGTTCTCTGAGTTCCGAAAGCTGCTCTAGCAAATTAATTGAACCCAAAGAGAGGGGTCCTGGGAGCCCCGACTCACGGCCAGCTGGTCAGAAGCACAGGTCAAACAACCTGGGGCCTGCAATTGGCATTGGAAGCGGGGCCCGGTCTCACAGGACCGAGCCCTCAACCTGTGGGAGCTGACGCTGTCTCCAGGTGGATGGTGTCAGGCTTGAACTGGAGGACACCTGGCTGGTGTCTGCTGCAGAGCGGACTGCTAGCTTGTTGCTGGGGAGAAAAGCCCCACGCATCTGGTGTCAGAAACACGTTACAAGAGTGTAGTAAGAGAGGCCAGGAGTGGCGGCTCACGTCTGTAATCCCAGCACTTTGGGAGGCCAAGGCAGGCGGATGACCTGAGGTCAGGAGTTCAAGACCAGCCTGACCAACACAGTGAAACCCCATCTCTACTAAAAACACAAAAATTAGCCAGGGGTGGTGGCAGGCATCTGTAATCCCAGCCACTCAGGAGGCTGAGGCAGGAGAAAGGCTTTAACCCAGGAGGCAGAGGTTGCAGTGAGCCAAGATCTCACCAGAGCGAGACTCTGTCTTAAAGGAAAGGGGGGGAAAAAAGAACGTAGTAAGAGAAACACAATTTGAGTTTTTCCCACTTACATCTTGAAAACTTGGCCAACCTGGCATCACAGCCCACCTGCCAGTGTGGCAACTGCTGGTGGAGTGGCGAAAAGGCTGCCCCCTTGTGGGGAGACAGTGGTGCTGGTGCCAGAGATGCCCACCCAGCCCTTCCATGTATTTCCTTTGCCACCTGGGTCTCCAGCTCGTGATTCCTGCCCCAGACTGCAAACTCCCTGAAGGCAGGGCCTGACGGTGTCTTATTTGACTTTGATTTCCCAGCATCTATCCCACTCTCCAGCACACAGCGGGTCCTCAATAAATGTTTACCAGATACAAACAATATTTTTGGATTGCTTGTATCACATTTCTTCCAATATTAAAATTGTGCCAGGGTCGTGCTGCTCTAGCCTGGATCTTTGAAGCAGATTGGCAGCGTAAGTGGCCTTGCTGTGTGCCCTCCCACCCCCTAAATCCGCTCATATGTCAGTGGGCCGCTCCCAACATTCTCACTCTGCGATTTGACCTCTCTTCCTTCTAGCAATCTCCTCTCGGATAAGGGCAGCAATGCGCGCCTCACAGGGTCACTGGGAAGCCTGCATGAGATCATAAATATCAAGCACACATCTAACACTTACTTTATCACATGTGCTCGCTGCCTTTATCTCCAAGACAGTGAGCGTCTTCCTGCTCTTTGTTAGCCTATATGGTTTGGTTTGGTTTTTTCAGCCAAGCCCCAAGGAAGAGATTAGAATAGAAATCTCTGTATTCTGAGAATTTTCTGGGTCCCCTCCTCACAAACGGGTAAAGACTTTATCGGGAAGGCTTGCATTTGTCAAGTCAATACTGGCCCCCAAAGAGATGATTAGGGCAGATCAGAGTGTATTTAAATGAGCACCTCTTGACCGCCACTGCATGCTCAGAATTCACTCTTTTCTGAGTGCTTTAAACCCAGGAAGGAAGTATGAAGCGGCTTCTGACGCTCGGGTTGGTGGCGCTCTCAGAATGCTTGGTCAAGTAAGTATGAGACACGTGACATCAGCTCTCTCCCTGGGCTGCTTCTTGCCCCCTTCTTCTCTTGCCTCTTCTTCTTCTTCCAGGGCAGGGATGGGGAGGAAATGCAATCATTCTCTGATGCTCATATAAAGTTCAAGGCTCCGTTTATTGATGAGTAGCTTGCCGTGTACACTGTGGGGCCCAAAGGTCCTGGGGCAGGTCTGCAGGGTTGCACAACTCCAGGGGCAGCAGTCACATCATGGGCTATGTGAATGGGACTCCCTAGAATTGTTCAGTGCTCAACCTGTGCAGCCGTAGGTGTGCTCCCATGTAGAAACAGAATTTCTTCTGTGCGATTTTCTAGGTTTTCTTTCTACTCCCTCTCTGTTTCCTTATATACGTCTCTGTGAATGCACCTCTGTCTCTGCATCTCTCTCTTACCTCTCTGTCTCTTTGGGTGTCTCTGTGTATGCAGAACTCCGTGTTCCTTTGTGTTTTGACTCATTCTTCTTTCTCTGCTCTCTTCATTTCCCCACCTTACTCCCCGTCTCAGCATCCATGACTCTCTCACTTCCTGGCTTCCTCTCTCACTCCTTTCTTCCGGTTGAACCCTGGGGAGATCAGGAGGGCTACTTCTAGGTCCGGGTTTGCCGCTATCGAGCAGCGTAACCAGAGCCAAGTCACAAAGTCCCTGCATTTCAGATTCCTTCCATGTAAAAAGAGGATAATGATTCCCCCTCTCCCTCCCTCTCAGGCTGCCTGAGAAAGAGACATTGAGATGGCAATAGCAATAGGAAGAAGAGCTGTCACTGTTACCAGGACCTGCCATATGGCAGGTGCGTTATATCAACTGTCTCACTTAACACCTCCAAACATTCTATGCTAAGGAGGGGGTCATCATTCCATCTTTTTTATAGGTAGATAGGGAAACTGAGGCTCAGAAAGGTCATATAAACTGCCCAAGATTACTCAATATAACCTGGAATTAAACCTAGAGCCATTGCCATGGCCTTTCCATTGCACTGGGTGTCTTTTCCTGATAATAAGATAACAGTCACTAAAAGGCTTGAAAAACGCATGATGTAATTACAAGGCAAAGTGTGACAGTCACATTGTAGCAAGGGGCAGCCGATGACTGTCCCTTATTTGTCTCCCTTCCCAATGCTCGGTTGAAGAATCCCTCTGATGAAGATCAAATCCATTGGAGAAAACCTCCGGGAAAATGACAGGCTGAAAGATTATCTTGAGAAATATCCTTACAGTCTGGCCTATAATTTTCTTGATCAATATCAGGACGAGGGAATATCTTTGGAACCCATGAGGAACTACCTGGATGTGAGTGTGCTGGGAGGATGGAGCTCCAGAGCGCCCCCTAGGGCCCCTGGCATGCACTGGGGCTCATCAGGCTGAGCCAGCGGGTCAGGGCTGGAGCTTCTTCAAACAGGGGGAACCGGGACCCATTTCCAGAGAAGAAGGCACTCCTACCCTTTGTTGTTGGTCTGTGGTGACTGGGCCCAGCAATGACCAGGTGCCAGGTAGACATCCATTTCTGTGCCAGTCATAGTGCCACTGGACACCCTTGAACCATGACAGTGCTTGTTATGGGAACTTTGCCCTTTCTGAACTAAGGCTAATCGCTAAGCTAAAGGAGCCACGCTGAAGGGTGATCCATGCCTGATCAAATGACAACAAGGAAAACTGCAAATCAGATTTGACACCCTAGGTAGAAGTTTAGGCCAGAGCTGTGGCTCACGCCTGTAACCCCAGCACTTTGGGAAGCCGAGGCGGGAGGATCACCTGAAGTCAGAAGTCCGAGACCAACCTGGCCAACATGGCAAAACCCCATCTGTACTAAAAATACAAAAATTAACAGGGCACAGTGGTGCATGCGTGCCTGTAATCCTAGATACTCGGGAGGCTGAGACACAAGAATCCCTTGAACCGGGAGTCAGAGGTTGCAGTGAGCCAAGATTGCTGTACTCCAGGCTAGGCAACAGCGCAAGACTCCATCTCAAAAAAAAGAGGAAAAGAAAGTTTAGCCTTTTCAGCCCCAGAATCAAACCAACAAAAAAGTTGTTGAGGCGTTGCAGTGGCTAAGACCTATAATCCCAACATTTTGGAAGGCCAAGGCAAGAGGATTCCTTGAGGCTAGGAATTTGAGGCCAGCCTGGGCAGCATAGTGAGACCCTGTCTCTACAAAAAGTTTTAAAAATTAGCTGGGTGTGGTGGTGTGCACTTGTAGTCCCAGCTACTTGGGAGGGTGAGGTGGGAGAATCGCTTGAGCCCAGGAGGCCACGGTTACGGTGAGTCATGATCATGCCACAGCACTCCAGCCTGAGCAAAAGAGAGAGACTCTGACTCTAAAAAAAAAATTTGTGGCCAGGCACGGTAGTTCATGCCTGTAATCCCAGCACTTTGGGAGGCCGAGGCGGGCGGATCACTAGAGGCTGAGAGTTCAAGACCAGCCTGACCAACATGGAGAAACCCCATCTCTACTAAAAATACAAAATTAGCCAGGCATGGTGGTGGATGCCTGTAATCCCAGCTACTCAAGAGGCTGAGGCAGGAGAATTGCTTGTATCCATGAGTCAGAAGTTGCAGTGAGCCGAGATCGCGCCATTGCACTCCAGCCTGGGCAACAAGAGTGAAACTCCATCTCAAAAAAAAAATATTTAAGTTATTTGAGCCCCTGGTGTGGGATGCTATGATAAACTAACAATATGATTATTGTTGCTTATATAACCAAAGGCCTCATCTCTTCTTCAAGTACTTGTAGCCCATCCAGAGAAATAGACAAAAGTAAGTAAATGTCAAATAAAAGAATCGACTGTGTGGTATTAATATTACGCAATTTGAGTTTAAAGGAAGAAAACAGCACAGTGGCCTAGGCAACCTAGGAGGGCGGCCTGGAGGAGGAGGCACTCAGGCTGGGCCTTCCAGGGTGGAAAGGATTTGGCGAGCTGTGGGGAACACTGGAGAGCTTCTCAAATGAAGGTGGTGGCTTGAGCAGAGACTGTGCGGGGGGGCTGTTGGAAAGTGATTTCAGGAAACGTGAAATGCCTGATGAAGGCAGGCACCCTGGGAACCAGGGGCATGGCCAGGATGCCAGGCCTTCCCTCACCATCCCTCCTGGGTCCTGGCCGCTGGCCTTCATCGGCATCATCAGCATCAGAACAGCGCCTCAGGAGTTCAAGGTCATTCTGGACATGGGCTCCACTGACTTGTGGGTGCCCTCTGTCTACTGCGTCAGCCAAGCCTGCAGTGAGTGCTCCCTTCCCCATCTTCTGTCCTCCCAGCACCTCCTCTTCCATCCTCAGCAGCCTGAGAGATGCCCACCCCTTGTGTCTGCTGACCACAACGTCTTCAACCCTCTGCTGTCCTCCACGTTCTGGGGCTCAGGCCGACCCAGCAGCATCGCCCATGGCACCGGGCAGATGTCGGGATTTCTTGGCTAGGACACTGTTAAGGTAACGTGGAAACCAGAGACAGGGGCAGGGCTGGCCTTAGGTGTGACCGTCACTTACAGGACCAGATCCATGACACTATTAAGGTCACACAGATACCAGAGGCAGAGGCAGGGCTGGCCGTGGTGTGACTGTCACTTGCAGGACCAGATGAAGGGGCAGCTGGGAGTGTCCATCTCTCCTAAAGTCCCTCAGCAACTGGCCGCCTGCCCTGTGGGGCTGTGACCCAGGGGAGATGGTGCCCCCGCTGGCATGCACACTCCTCCAGAACAGCCTCCCCAGAGAGCGGGACCATCTGGCCAAAGGTGCTCGGGTGAAGGAGGAGAGAATCTGCAGCCCCTTTTCCCGCAATGAGTAGAGGACTAATTTTGCTGAACTCAGGGACAGAGATGAGTGGGTAAAAGCCACCAGTTTTGTGCCCTCACACTGTGTCAGGTGCCACACTGGACACGTCACTCGGAATAACCTGTTTAATCCTCACAACCACAGCAGACTCTATTGTTACCTCCATTTTACAGAAGAGGGAACAGAGAGAGTGAGTGCCTTGCCCAAGGTCACACAGGGGGCAAGCTGCAGAGCTGGGAGGCGAATCAGGTCTCACATGGGTGCGGAGTGTTGTCAGGGGAGGGGAGAACTGGTCTGGGGCTGAGGGCTCCAGGCACCAGGCAGGGAAAACAGGGACCACAGCATTGTGGGGGAGCTCTGCCTGATAAACAGGTTCTTCCCATTTGTCTTCTTCTGTTTTTTTTGTTTGTTTTTTCTTTAGACAGAGTCTTGCTCTGTCACCCAGGGTGAAGTGCAGTGACACAATCTCAGCTCACTGCAACCTCTGCCTCCAGGGTTCCAGCAATTCTCCTGCCTCAGCCTCCCAAGTAGCTAAGATTACAGGCGCATGCCACCACGCCCTGCTAATTTTTGTAGTTTTTAGTAGAGACGGGGTTTCACCCTATTGGTCAGCCTGATCTCGAACTCCTGACCTTGTGATCCACCCACCTAGGCCTCCCAAAGTGCTGGGATTACAGGCATGAGCCACCGCGCCCAGCCCCCACTGGTCTTCTAAAAGAAGGCAATCCTGCTCTCTACCAGTTTGTCCTCAAGTGGGAACTGTGTGGTCACACTCAGAGTCTAATAAACACCAGGGAACTCCTCCCCAGAAGTGCCTGCACACACACACACACACACACACGAAGCATTTATTTCCCAGACAGAATTTTCATAAGAACACTAGTGTCTACACGTGTAACAGGCTACTGTCTCCCCCAGGGGATGTAGAAAAGACGACCTTTGACATTTGCAATGAATTCTCTCTGTTTCTGTCATCAGATCATATCGACACCAAAAAGGGGACAATCCTGCTCCCTACCCATGTGTCCTCAAGCAGGAACCGTGCGGTCACACTCGGAGTCGAGGTTGCCCCACCTGTGCAAAGGGAATGTGGCCTCTGTGACTAAGCTCAGACAATATGCAGGAGGCACAGGGGTTGGTTAGAATCACAGCCCAGAGGACCCACGCTCGCATAGGTCAGCCCACCGCACAGTGGCCTCAGGCTTCCCCCGTGGAGTTAGTGCTACCTCCTCCGACACCTGCGCCCCAGCCCAGCCCCAGCCCCACTTCCCAAATCTTTCCACAGAAACACCCTCCTCTCCCACAGATCAGGGGTTCGGCCTGAACATCAAGGAGCCCAGTAAGTTCATGAAATACGTGATCTTCGATGGCAACCTGGGACTGGGCTACCCCAGCCTCAGCATTGAGGGAGCCACCCCCGTCTTTGATAACCTGTGGAACCAAGGCCTCCTTTCTCCGAACCTCTTTGCCTTCTACTTGAGCAGGTAAGTGTGGGCTAGACAAGCCCTTTCTCCAACACGGCTGTAAGAAGCTTTCACTTGCATGAAAAATTAGAGACTCTCTTATCCAGAAGTTTCCTTAGAGATAGTCTGGTCCAGGGAGTCAGCAAACTATATCCTGGGGGCCAAACCTGGCCCATCACTTGTTTTGTAAATAAAGTTTTATTGGAACACAAGCGTGTTTATTCGTTTATGATTGTCTGTGGCTGCTTTTGAGCGCCGATGGCAGCACTGAGCGGTGCAATAGAGGCTGTACAGCCCAGGAAGCCTAAAATAGGGACAAACTGGCCCTTTACAGAAGGTACGCTGAAACCCTGTAGTCCAGTCTTTTCATTCAGCAGATGAGGAAACAGACTCAGAAACCGCATATGCACAAGACTGCCCAATCAGGCACTGGTAGTGGCAGGACTTGAACTCAGCCCTCAGGACTCTCCCCCATGGCAAGTGGTCAATCCATCAGCAAGCCTCCAGTCACTGGGCTTGGTAAAGAAAAGCTGGTCTTCTGATGGACTTAGGGTCTGGTGGAGAGCAGGGGAGAAGGAGGAAGCACAGACAGCAGGACGGCCGTGGTGACAGACTGTGTCCTCCCCACAAAGCCCGTGGTTGACCCCGTAGACCCATGTGGGAAGCAGGAGAGTGGATGGTTGAGGCTGCGGGCTCTGGGAGACTGAGTTCAAACCCTGGCCCCATAGCACGACCTGACGGTGTTTAACCTCTGTGAGCCTGAGGAACTCTCGTACTCCGTCAAAGGAGATGATTCATGTGCTGGGTACTGCTCTGTACCCGTAAAGAAGACAGACAAGAATTAGAGAAGGCAGACAAGAAATAAGTAAATAAATAAAAGAAAAAGATGACTCTGGCTGGGTGCAGTGGCTCATGCCTGTAATCCCAGCACTTTGCCAAGCCAAGGTGGGCGGATCGCCAGATGTCAGAAGTTCAAGACAAGCCTGGTCAACATGGTGAAACCCCGACTCTACTGAAAATACAAAATTAGCCGGGCATGGTGGCGGGTGCCTGTAATCCCAGCTACTCAGGAGGCTGAGGCAGGAGACTGGCTTGAGCCTGGAAGGCAAAGCTTGCAGTGAGCCGAGATCGCACCAGTGCACTCCAGCCTGGGTGACTGAGCAGGACTCTGTCTCAAAAAATAAAATAAAAAAGGTAACTCTGATAGCACCTGGCTCTGTAAAAGCAGCAACAAATCAGGGCAATAGAGCAGACCAGGGTGAAGTCGAGGTCTGAGATGGCCAGCGGCTAAGTCCTCCCTGAGCTCAGACCTCGGAATGGGAATGAGCCAGGCTCGAGCGGCTAAGTGCCTAGAGCAAGGACGAGTGAATGCAGAGAAATGAGAGCTTGCAGCGTCCGGGGACCAGCAGGGGGGCCTGTGTGGCTGGAGCACTGGAGGGGAAGGCAGGGACAAGGCTACCCTGGGGTTTTGTACTAAGTGGGAGTGGCGGCCTCTGGCAGGGGGATAATTAGGGAAGAGACATGATCCGATTTACAGTTTTGAAAGCTCACCTTGGCTGCCAGCTGAAGGATGCCCACTGATGAGAGTGGAGGCAAGCAGGCCAGGGAAGAGGCTGCACAGCCTCTTTAGAAGGAAGAGGTTGTGTGTGGTGGCTCATGCCTGGGGAGGCCAAGGCGGGCAGATCGCCTGAGGTAGGAGTTCAAGACCATCCTGGCCGACATGGTGAAACCCCACCTCTACTAAAAATACAAAAATCGGCCAGGAGTGGTGTCGCATGCTTATAATCTCAGCTACTCAAGAGACTGAGGCAGGACTTGAACTCAGCCCTCAGGACTTGCCCACATGGCACTTGAACCCGGGAGGCAGAGGTTGCAGTGAGCCGAGATGGCGCCATTGCACTCCAGCCTGGGTGACAAGAGCAAGGCTTGGTCTTAAAAAAAAAAAAAAAAAAAGAAGAAGAAGAAGAAAGAGGTGGTAGCTTGGTCCAGGGAAGAGGAAGAACAGTGTGGGGAATGAGCTGCAGGAAGAGCCAACAGGATGAGCTGATGGATTTGATGTGGAAGAGGAGGGGTATGCAGAGCTGTTCCTCCCTCGCTAATGATTTTACCATGAGTCCAGAACCTGCCACAAAATTTGCAGGGCTCAGTGTGAAAGGCAAATGCAGGGGGCCTTGTTAAAAAAAAAAAATGTTAAGAATTTGAAGGCTGGGCACGGTGGCTCATGCCTATAATCCCAGCACTCTGAGAGGCTGTGCTGGGCGGAGCTCAGGAGTTCAATACTAGCCTGGGCAGCATAGTGAAACCCCATCTCTACAAAAAAATACAAAAATTAACCACATATTGGTACATGCCTGTAGTCCCAGCCACTTGGGAGGTTGAGATGGAAGGATCACTTGAGCCCAGGAGGTCAAGGCTGCAGTGAACCATGATCATGCCACTACACTCCAGCCTGGGTGACAGAGACCCTGTCTCAAAAAAAATAAGAATTTCAAGACAGCAACAGCAGTGGCTCACACGCCCATGGAGACACCCCTGTGTGAGCTTGAACATGCGGCCTTAGTCCCCACTGGGTCTCCATTTTTCCAGAAAATGACAGGCTGGATGAGTGGAGGTCAGACCCTTCTCTCCACGGCATCCTCCGACTTCATCTTAGGGTCTGCTCTGATTGCTGGTGAAGACCTGGTGCTTCACAGAAGAGTGGGGTGGGCAGAGCCCAGCTCAGAAGCCAGACCTTCCAGGTTCAATCCTCAGCTTTGCTACTTGTTACTACCTGGGGTAGGTATTCAACTCCTCTTTGCTTCAACTTCTCCATCCATAAAATGGGAAGCACAGTAGTGCCTGCTCCATAGGGCTGCGTGAGTGTGTGTGGATTAAGTGAGTAACAGTAACCGTCCCTTAGACAGTGCCTGGTGTCTCTGAGCCTGAAGAATGCTACCCATCATTCTCCACTTGCAATGAGCCATTCCTGTTCCTTTCCCCTCCAGCAAGGAAGAGAAGAGCAGCGTGCTGATGCTCAGCAGGGTGGACCCCTCCTACCACACCGGAAACCTTAACTGGGTGCCAGTGTCCAAACTCCTCTACTGGCAGATAGCCATGGACAGGTAAGCCACACCTCTCACTCCTGCCTGAAGTGCCCGAAGTGATGTCACCCCCCAAACACACACACACTCACAGACGCACTCACAGACACATGCAGTCACACACACATGCACTCATAGACCCATCCACTCCAGATGCATCCAATCACACACACACACGTGCACTCACACACACATGCAATCACAAACACACGCAATCACACACACACATGCACTCACAGACCCATGCACTCCAGACGCATCCAATCACACACACATATGCACTCAGAGACACATGCAATCACACACACATGCAATCACACACACACATGCACTCAGACACATGCAATCACACACACACATGCACTCACAGACACATGCAATCACCCACACACATGCGCTCACAGACACATGCAATCACACACACATGTGCACTCACAGGCACATGCAATCACAGACACATGCACTCAGACACATGCAATCACACACACATGCATTCACAGACACATGCAATCACATGTACATGCACTCACAGACATGCAATCACACACATACATGTACTCACAGACACATGCGCTCACAGACACCTGCAATCACACACACACATGCGCTCACAGACACATGCAATCACACACACATGCGCTCACAGACACATGCAATCACAGACACATGCACTCACAGACACATACAATCACACACACACATGCACTCACAGACATGCAATCACAGACATATGCACACACAGACACATGCAATCACACACACACATGCACTCACAGACACATACAATCACACACACACATGCAATCACAGACACATGCACTCACAGACACATGCAATCACACACATGTGTGCTCACACATGCAATCACACACACATGTGTGCTCACAGACACATGCAATCACACATACACGTGCAATCTCAGACACATGCAATCACACACACACATGCGCTCACAGACACATGCAATCACA